CCTTCTAATTATATAATCTTCGGGTCACATCCTTGCATCCCCATGCAAAAATCAGGACTGTGCGCTTGGAAGGAGAAAATACTGACTTTTTTCTTTCTTAATTAGAACTGCTGCAAAGGGAGTGTGAGAAGCCTTGTGAAGTGACTGGCAGAGAGGGCTGTGTGCTATGAGCTGGGTACTGCTGTGGTCTGTGCTACCTAGACGAGCTCAGGGACTGCTAAGTACCTCCCATGGCACCCGAGGAAGGCAGCCAACACAGAACTCCAGCTCCTCCCTGCTCCCCCTGACACCCTTACCCTCCTACCCTCCCCTGCATGGCCTCATTAGGGATCCTAGGGCCAAAACAGCGTCCTGCTTGGGCATTTTCTCATTCTGGGCTGAGAGCAAAGTAGCCAGGGCAGCGGAGCAGGAACCACCAGGGTTTGTGAACCTTCTGCTTCTTGTTAGATTGTGACAAGTTTTCTTTGAGTTAAGAAAAAGAAAGGAAAGGAAAGGAAAGGAAAGGAAAGGAAAGGAAAGGAAAGGAAAGGAAAGGAAAGGAAAGGAAAGGAAAGGAAAGGAAAGGAAAGGAAAGGAAAGGAAAGGAAAGGAAAGGAAAGGAAAGGAAAGGAAAGGAAAGGAAAGGAAAGGAGGAAAGGAGGAAAGGAGGAAAGGAGGAAAGGAGGAAAGGAGGAAAGGAGGAAAGGAGGAAAGGAGGAAAGGAGGAAAGGAGGAAAGGAGGAAAGGAGGAAAGGAGGAAAGGAGGAAAGGAGGAAAGGAGGAAAGGAGGAAAGGAGGAAAGGAGGAAGGAAAGTGGGAGCACAGTGTTTGAGGGATGTTTGAGGGAGGAGGGATAGGGGGAGAGGCAGCAGCCCTCTGTGTCTGTATTTAGTCACTGACCTGTAGAGCTTTTTGCGCCAAATGGCATGGAGAAAACATTAAGAAAACACGGGGAAAAAGCAGGTGATGCATGGCCAGAGGTGACAGGAAAAGACTTGATCTAATCCAATGGGTTACTCCGAAGCAGAGGCATAAAAGAGGGGAAAGAGTAGAAAAAGAAAGAATAAGTTCTCACTGAAAGGCAAGTGTCAGCTTATAAGATACCTTCAGGCAGAAAACGAAACAGCAGTACCTAAGTCGTTATAATTACCATGCAGCACTGATAAAAGGAGGTGATAAATGGAGCTAAGGATCCAATCTGTGGAAGATGTTGCTGCCTCTGAAGTTGAGGGCTTAATACAGGGACGCTGTGTTTCTTTTGGAGACCTTGTTATTCCAGGAGCAAAACACAACAAAATTGAGCACAGGAAAATGGCAATTCTGAAGAATAGTAACTGCAACCCATGGGGTTATATTGTCAGAACGAGCAGTGAGCAGTTATGTTTCTGTGTGCTGATAACGTGCTGCCTTTTCAATTTTGCTAAGAAAACAAAAGCCCAAGATTTTTCCAAATCAAATACCAAAATGAGCTGAGTATTTGAAGGCACATGTGAAGGAATACCTTTTGTTCATTGTGTCTGAGGATGGAAGCAATGGCAGATATTTACTAAAACTCCACTAAACTTCTGGCAAACAAAAACTAAATGCATATTTTTTCATGACAGTGCTGATGTGCTTTTTTTTTTAAAAAAAAATTTAGCAAAATTGACAGAGGGGTCCTTCATAGAGAATGAACATGAACATTCTCATGTGAGTTTGTACTTCAAAGGTCTCTTTGCTACAAATCTAAATACTTTGGTATAGAAAGCAATTTTTCAAACCCAAACAAAAATAGAAGCATATTTATTGTATTGCATGAGACCTTGTGCTAGCAGTGGCAGCAGTCAGCTCCCTGTGAGCTCACTTGCCCACTTCCCCCCAGAGAAAAATAGCCTTGGCACATGTTTTTGAGCAGTGTTCTGCTGGAGCCTGGGTTGTGCAGGATTGTCCTGGGAGGAGTAGCTGCCATGCTGCAGCTGCACTTGCTCTCTGTCCTGATCCCGCTGTGCAGTGCCACGCTTAGTGCAAATGCAAGCACTGTGTTTCCAAAGGCTTATGTGGGTTGGCAGGTTTGTTTTCTAGGGAAAAATTAGAGAAGTTGAGCGTAAATTAGGATTAGTTTGCTGATATATGTTGTTTGAAACCCAGCAAGAAAGGTTAAGTTAAAATAGGTCAAGTTAAAATAAAAAAAAAATCCAGTAATTTACTGCTCTACTTCTAAATTTAACCTGTTCAACCCCATTCCTCTGTTTACTTCATCTGATCAATTTGCTAAGAAAAGTAACTGTATTTTATTTACCAGTGACCAAAGGCATCATTTTTAATGAATACATGAAGAAATCAATGACAGCTGTTGAACCTAGAGTGAGATCAAATGGGGTAGCTTTGACAGTGCCAAATAGCTACATTTTCAGCTTATGCTTCAGTCCTGCTGCTTTTGTGCCATTGAATGTGCCAGTCCACACCACTCCATTTTCATCTATGAAGTCTCCTTCACCTTCCATCCTGTAACAACATAAATCCAGCCTGTTAATAAAGCATGCAGTCAGATTGTGGTAGCACAGTGATCTGCCTTCACTTTCTCCTACATGTAAAAGTTTTGATTTACAAGCCATGAAGGTTTATGAAGCACATAGATAGCACAGGTGAACTTGGTTACAGCCAAGTAACACACTTCTTTGCAAAAGTGTACTTACACCAACATCTTGCCAGCATGTAGCCTGTACTGGAAAAAAAATAGTAGTCCTAATCTTGATTTGGAATTGTCAGGGTTTGAGTCCTATCACATTTATCTTGACTTTCAGCGGGGTATCCTAAAGATATGTGTAGTGTATGCAGCCAGCTGTAAAAAATCATTTTTTCCTAACCTTTCCCTGTCCTATGTATTTTTATGAGAAAGTGCAAGGATTTACAGCCTCCAGTGGGAAGAAAAGTAACTGCCACATTAACTGAGTACTCATAAATCATTTATTTCTGCTGATCTTTGAAAGCTGTGACCAAGCTCATCATTATACCTGAGAACTGCTGTAAAGAGGAGATGTCTGTATATCAGCATCACTTGCAAATGAGAGGAAATAACTTCTAAAACCAATTACTGGAGATTTGTTCCCCTTGAAAATGAAGACACTCAGCAGTCACAGTGAGTTCCATGGTGCTGCCTATCTGTGTTCTCTTAAGAAAGCTACAGTGATCTGGTGAACTAACACTTAGCTTGTGTGAGTAGGTGGAAATTAGCAATACTGAAGCCTGGCAAAAGAGCCTGCTTTGGGCTGCCAGAGAGCACCGTGTGCTAATGATCAGAAACCAGTGTCAAGAAAGGGTGCATCAGCAGCAGTGTTTTAATTAAATAAAATCACAGGTTTGAAGTAGTGCTATTAGTTTTTCTGTACTTGTTGCTGCCAGCCCTTTTGCACTGGGCTGTGTTTTCCCAGGAGGGCAGAGGCATCAACCCTAAGATGAAAGAAACCACCTGTAAAGCCACTTGTGTGATCTGGTGCTGAATGCCCTCGCTATGGTGGTGGGTATTCACAGTTTTAGACTTCACATAGAAGTCGCATCTGACATTTAGTATGACCACAAAGGACCACCAAAAGGTCCACCAAAAACTTGAGTTTAATATACAGGTTCCCATTTTGTATTCAGGTATGTTCTGAAAATGCTTACTTCATTTAGTGTCTTAATTATTTAAAAATTAGCCCTACTTCTGTACTACTGTGGCTGTTCTTTTTGGTCAGCAGGGCAAGGCAGGGCTGCTTTCAGAATAAATACTGTATTTGAACTATGCATATATATTTCTGATTTATTACAGATACTCAACTGAGGAGATACTTAAAGAAAAATCTGTATCAAACTTAGCAAATTGACAGAGAAGTCATTCATGGAGACCTGTCAACACAAAGCCAGATGGGTGTCTGTAATAACCATCTTGAAAACTGTTGACTGGGATCAAATCTCTGGCTTTTGACTGCTCTGATGAGGTGGATATAGCTGGGACCTGCAATCTCAGGTAGCCAGTGCAAGTTTCAGTGGTAGCAAGGGAAACATACTCCCATGCTGGGTGAATTGCACGTTGACTTCGTACCTTATGAAATCAAAACTCACAGAAAAAAATTCTGCTTCAAACGTACTTGTTTTCATTGAATGGTCCAATGTACTTTGCTCCACTTGGAAATGTGTAGGTTCCTGCCCCGTGATACATGTTGTCTTTGAACTCGCCTTCATAAACAGCCCCAGAAGGATGTTCTAGCCTTCCAGTACCATTCATCTGCATTTAGTGAGAGATGATGGATAAAGATTAATGTGTATTCTTCTGTTATTATTTCCTTTTATGACACTGTTCTTTCAGATTGCTACTTGTGGGCCTTCTATCCCATTCAGGTAAGTGGAGAGGACTGTTTTCTTAAGATTTAGACAGGTTTTTACCTCTGCGAGCACTTTAAATAACAGCTTAGAGTTTCCGGCCAGCCACAGCATCCATTAAATCTTTCCTCTCCTGATAGTCCCACAGGACCTTTATAATCTGTGCAGCAGGGAACTGCTGTCCCCAGCCATACAAATAACTCATCTATTCTGACAGCCTGAGGGGTTAATTATGTTTTCTGGAATTTCTTTCTGATCAAGGCAGAGCAAATCTTTCATTTGTTCAGCCTCGGCCATTAAGCCAAGCATTTTTGTAGCATATGTTCTTGTATAAGGGTGAGAAAAAGATAGACTAGATCTAATAAAGATGCTGTTTTTTAACTTCTGTCTCTTATTTATTTCAGAGATCTCTCCATTATCAGCAAAATAAGAAGTTTTTGTGTACCTAATAATTCATCTGGGGAATTCAGTAACCAAGGACAGCCAAAGACAGTGTATCTATTGATGATCAGAGCTCTCCTGTTTGGTCAAGGGAGATGTGTGTGGGGTGCACAAACACACACAGGTAGGCTGTGTGCAGCCCACTGTGCACACGCAGCCCATCAGCAGGGCACCACTGCCGTGGTGTTTCAGCAGGGCCAACAGTGACTGGTGAATCTGCGGGAGCCTCTGGAGGCAGCAAGGTGTCCAAGTACTCCACGTGCCTGAAGCGTTCAGGCTGGGCTTTGCCAGGATTCCCCAGTGGATGAAGAGCCTGGTGTTGATCTGGTCCTTCTCAGGTAATGGCTGTCCTTTCCATGCATCTAGGAGTAGGTGTACTGAGACATTCCAAGCCCAAAGTTTGAAATGAAGGAATACTTAAAATTACCTTGTCATTTAACCAGTTACCAATGTATATCATTCCGTTGGCACTGGTATGAACTCCAAGGCCATTCCTCTGCAACAAACCCTCAGGTGTCTTTTTGCATTCCCCTTCTAGGAAAAGAAACTGGTATTTTCAGTTAAAACATCCCTGAGACAACAACAACAACAACCAAAAAAAGCAACTACGAGTTCCTGAAGGGCATATCTTGCATCTGCAGGTAGGCTACCCCAGCTGGGCAGGTGGGGTGAGCAAGGCCAGCCAGAGCAGCTCGGGGCTGTTCCTCTGCCACCACGGAGCCCCAGTGCTGGGGGCACAGGACAGAGCAACCCCTGGGGACCATCGCGGGAGCGGCACCTTTTTTTTAACGCCCTGAAGGGTTAAGGGTGATCCTGCCTCGGTGTGGGGAGCTCGGGGGGGAGGCGGGTTCAGGTGACCCGTCGGCTCACCAGCTGACATCCCCAAAGGGCAGATTTCTTCTTTTCTCATCCCACGCAAAATGGAAAAAAAAAAAAGGAATTAGTGCCTATCGACTGTCTTACCATACTTTTCTTTGTTTGGGAACGTGAAAGATACTTTAAAAACGACAGCATCTGTTGAGAAAGAAAGACGAGAGTGGAGTGCAGTTAGCTGAAACCCCGGCCCTCGCACATCAGCTGGAATAGCCGTTACTTGCGAAGGGCGCGGCGGGGCAGGAGGAGGGAAAAGGCGAGATAGGAGTACCCTCCATGGTTGCCATGCGGAAGTGTTCGCCGTCGCTAGGAGAGTGGGCGCACCGGAAGAGGAAGGCGGCAACTTCCGGGTCGAGGAGCGCTGCGGCGGGCCGGTGAGGAGAGCAGCGGGGAGCGGGAGCCTGAGCTGTGGGGGCTGGGGCTGGGGCTGGGGCTGGGGCTGGGGCTGGGGCTGGGGCTGGGGCTGGGGCTGGGGCTGGGGCTGGGGCTGGGGCTGGGGCTGGGGCTGGGGCTGGCCGAGGTGCGCAGCTGTCCCTGCAGCAGCTCTCACGGAGTCACGGAATGGTTTGGGTTTGAAGGGGCCGTAAAAGCCGTCCGCATTCGTACCCTGCCGTGGGCAGCGGTGCTTCCCACCAGCTCAGTTCCTCATGGCCCCAACCAGCCTGGCCTGGAGAGCCTCCAGGGATGGGGCACCACGGCTTCTGTGGGCAGCAGCGCCAGGGTCCTACTTATTCTAGAGATTTTCTTCTTTGTATTTTACCTGAATCTGCCCTCTTTCAGTTAAAACCAACCCCCTTGTCCTGTTGCTATGTGCCCTCATAAAACAGTCTGTTTGTCGGTGGGGTCGTGATGCTGTGTGTATGTTAATATTGGACAGCAGAACTGATAACAGCTGCTTTACACTTCGGGGACTTGCCTTGAGGCTGGTGAGGGTCCTGCTGTGAGGAGGGCTCCCTCGTCACCCCTCTGGGTGCTCAGCTGTCTGGGCAGCTCTTTGCAGAAGGAACAGGTCAGGAGCAGATTTAAGCTCCCTGCTGTGAAATGTCCCGTGGAGGTTTGTTCTTTGCACTCCCTTGTTCAAGGAAGTGCCATCGCAGTACAGATCTGGGGCTGGGCAGCACTGCTGATAGGCTCACTCTGCTTTCTCAGGGCCTGCAATTGGAGTGGCTGTGAAAAAAATTTGGATCGCTTTTGTGTTCTAAAACCACAGAACTTGTGTGGCAGTGTTCTGGAAGAATGTGCTTACTTTCAGGTGCATACAGGTGATTAATTGCACTTTGAGAAGACAGCTTCTCTTGTCACACAGAAAAACAAATAATGTGCACCTGAGTGGTTATTTTGTACTAAGTCACCTTCATAACTAAGGGCTATTTTTTTTTTTTTTTTTTCCTCCAGCAAGAAACATGAGCTCAGGAGCAAAGAGGAGAGGAAGGCCCAACAGAGGAGGAGGAAGAGGAAGAGGAGGAGGAGGAGGAAAAGGGAGAGGAGGAGGTGGCAGTGGTGGAAGAGGAGGAGGCAGCAGTGGCCGTTCAAACAAGCCTCAGCTCGGTGGAAATAGGAAATGTTCAACCAGAATTTGGGATGATGGAGATGACTTTTGTCTCTTTGAGGAACCAAGGCTGGAAACCAGGTCCTTCTATTAATTTTGAAATACAGAGGTGTTGGGGATGATTTGGGGCTGTGTTTTGGGGTGTAATTGAATATGCACAAAAGTAAAGGAATGTTGAAGCTGGTTCTTCAAGTATGAATCAATCTTTTTTTTTTTTTTTTTTTTTTAATCAACTTGTAGCATTTTATAGTTGGAAAGTTCTTAAGAGGCTTGAAGCTCTGATTTTTTTTTTTTCTTTGCCCACGAAGTAATGTCAAAACATATTTGATCAGAAGACACCAATAAACACGGGATACTCATTTATTTGTGTTCCAAAGCAGAAGCTAAATTATGGAAAATAAGCAGTAAATGGATGAATTTGGTATCCTAAACATATTGTGACCAATCTAGCTTAGAAATACTTGGCTGTACTGTTGTCTGAAAGTAGTGGAACATGGCACAGTTTTTACTAAATCACATTGGATGTGACGTACAATAAAATATGTGTGTGCATCCACATGTGCACTAACGCAGGTGCACACATCCTGGTCACGTAAGAGTGAACCCAAGTGAGCACTGCTTTGGTAATGGGAGCCTCTGTTTTGAAACTGAGGTTTTGACTGAGTCCTGAAATTCAGCTTTGCATACCTGGTCAGTCAACAGTAGGCAGGCAAATAACCATTGTTTTCTTCTTTAGATCAAATGTTTCTGCCAGAAGAGGAGGGCAAACAAAACAAAGGCCTGAAGCCAAAATGCCTCTGCAGACCATCCATATGACAACAGAGAATCAGAGAAGAGTGAAGGAACTTCTTCGAGAGCTTCAAGGGCAGGATCTGGCTCCTGAATCAGAGTTAGTTTAAACTTCTAAATGCGTTAATAGGCACTGTTAGAAAAATTAAAAAATGGTATTCTTTTCCTCCCCATAACTTTTAAATTTATCTCAAGTCATGTGATTTTGAATCTACTCTGTTCCTCTATGATGTTAACTCAGAGAAAGGGAAGGTGCAATTCCTCATTTAAGTGGAGGATTTAAAGTTGCAGGGACACAATCTTGTATCTATTCAGCAGTATAATTTTGTTTCACTTTAATTTGATAACCTTTTATTAGAGTAGCTGGTTATGGTGAAGATGACGATGAACCTGATTACCTTGATGATGATCAGTGCTGGTCAACAGATCAGGAAGTTTCTGACGTGACACCAAGGTCTTCTGCTGAGGCAGCTGCCCACAACATTGTGGAAAGCGAAGTGTCTCCATTTGCTGTGCACAAGCTCTCCAGGTGATTAATTCCAGTTAACGATTTGTGTGCTGAAGAGGCAAGTCGTTAGTCTAGGCACTGTAAACCCTCAGTGCTTTGAATTCCACTTGACTCCAGAGAGAGTCTATGTTCAGGAATTGTGAGTCTGTATCTCCTCAAGATTTGATCCTCAAGTGGATGAACGTAAAATAACGGTTTTATGAAAATAAAGAGTTGTAGCATTTTTATGGCAAAATTTTCAGTTCTTTCTCTAAGATAATGAAACAAGTACTGGGAAAGCTCAGGCAGCACTGCTGTTATATATGTTTATTCTGGTTAGGTGTAATTTTGTTAGCTTTCTTCATCCATTTTGCTTAGATCTGAGCATTTCTTAACATTTTTTATTTCTTTTCTGTGTGAGAGGGCTCAGCTTTTTCTGAAGAGCTTTATAGTGGGCATGATATGAGACAGTTGCTACCTAAACTGTCACCTTCAAAACAACAGACCTTTGGGGGCTTTTGTTTTTCAGGCAATAGCAATACTCTCATGCTGTATGTACTTCCTTACTTTGAGCCTCGTTTAGCAGATCTGTGGTTGTTTTACTTCGTTCTCTGTCACTCACTTGTTGCCATGTGGTCTCTGTGTTGTTGTAGGTATGGTTTTGACAGTGAGCGTTGTAGGACCATCCTGAGATCCTGCAATGGTAACATTGGGGCATCTTTGGAGCATTTGCTATTGCAGTGCTTTGCTGAGAGATACGGAGACAAGATGCAGATTTCTGCAACAGCTGCTCAGGCCAGTCAAGAAGAATGTTTAGAACAGAGACAGGAAGAAGCTTTTGCCCTACGGTCAATCTATGGAGAAAAATTTGTAGAAAGAATTCAAAACAGAGTTTGGACGTTTAGTTTGGAACTGGAATACCTAACAAACAGGCTCAGCAAATCTAAACAAAAGGGTGGTTGTGCGAGGGACACAGCAAAGCAGACTTCAAAAGAAATATGTAAATTTTATCTCCAAGGAGGCTGCAAATTTGGTTCAAAATGCAGATTCGGGCACGAATTCCCTCCAAACCACCCACTGAGATCAGCCAAGAACTCCGTAGATGATTCCCACCTCAGATCTAACAGCGATGGTCCCATATATGAACTTGAAGTAAGATTTCCTGAAGAAAACAAGTATCCACTCCAGGCGCCTCTTGTGGCATTTTACACCACCGATGAGAATCTGCCTCTTGCCTGTCGTCTGCACATCGCCGAATTCCTCTTTGGAAAGGCTCTGATAGCTGCAGAGGCTGGTGAACCGGTGGTGTACGCGTTAGTGACGGCCTTAGAAGATGAATCGGAAATAGGCGACGTACTTGGAAGCACTCGCCACAAATACAGCGCTCCTCCTGTTTCCCATCTGGCAGCGCGTCCAGTAAAGCTGCATACAGAGTCTGCGTCTGCTTCAAATCAAATAGCAGAAGGTACTGAATTTTCATCTAGGGTTTCTGGGCTTAGAAAAAGAAGGCAGGGAGCGCAATTATGGCATCTGTTCCAAATCTGTTTCTGGAGATGAAGGTCATGTGCTGAGCCAGATCCATATTCCGTCTGTCCTCAGGAAGTCATTTAGTAAAACTGCAGGGGAAGAGTTTTTGCTGGCTGCAAGTGCGTTAAAGGCGTGCACAGCAAACAGCGTGGTGGTGCGATCGTGTTGTGTTCCAACACAGTGGATAAAATACCATGCAGAGATGTGGTGTGAGCTCACTTGAAACTGACCTGGTGTGTGTCCAGAAGCATGTTTGGAAGGTAACGGGGAAAGTTACTGGTGAGCTTTCACACACCTGTTACTCATCAACACAACAGTGTCTTAATAGGGAAAAAAAAAATTACCTACCCTTCCTCACAACTAATTTTGTAAAGTTGGATTTTGTGCATAGTGTTACAGACAAGTCTGGAATGGTTCTCTTTTTCATTAATTCTTTTGCAAGCTCGTGCAGCTAGATGTATTCCACAGGGGGAAAGTTGTGACCCTGTGTCATTTGTGGCAGGGTGACAAGTAGCTGCATGGCTTAATTTACCTTCTGACTCCCAGTTCCAAAGCTGTTTTATTCTAAGGCAAACTTCCTTAAAAAGAGCATGCAAGAATAATAGCACCACAATGTAGAGCACCTGAATAGTGTCAGCCTGTTTTTTGCTGTTTTGTTTTATTACAGTAAAATACATTATTCCTATTCTTAACACCTCCACAGCAAAGTAGCTTTGTTCCAGAAATTGAAGTCAGAGCTTTCAAAGAAACTTCCTTGTGTTACAAAATACTCAACTTTGATAAATGCAGCCTTAATGCTTTTGAGGGCTAGCTTACTGTGTGAGCAGTCCTGTGTAAACCGATAGGCACTAAGC